AGGGAATGTTTAACATCATTGAATTGATCTTCTTACCTGCAAAATGGATCTTGGGATATTTAAGAAGAGGCAAAGGTGGAGGAGCCCTTACACCTCCTGGTAATTCAAACAAAGATTGATGGTCCTACTTTATCTTATACTATTTCTGGCTGTAGTTTCCTTATTCTTAGTCACTGTATCGTTTTACAAGTATAATTTACCTATTTAAAGATCAATTTGATACCAAACTAGACAACAAGAAAGTGCAAACGAATATTCGTCTTGTTTGGTAAAAAACCTTGGTTTTGTTGTGGATATTTATTTAGTTCGTTTGATCCTCCAGAGTACAGATATTAAACTAAGCGTTTAGCGTTCAGCCTCGGTTCCTCGCGATGCCGAGGGATATGAAACTCAGTTTTTAATTAGAGGAGATTCCTCGCGTCTCTATTAACTGATATTTAGCTTGGAAGATTCTTACTATACCAACACCTTATTATGATTACATTAACTATCCTAGCATGATTCACCATCAAAGGAACTAAGAAGAGTGTAATTTACCCTAAACTCTAAGTTGAGTAATGATAGATATCACGGAGAAACCGCACGCCGCACTTGGCCAAGCGCTTTAGAATGCGCCACGCGCACTTTGGACAAAGAGCAACTGTTTGTCTTTCCGTCCCAATCTAAACCAAGCCATAAGAAAGAAGACTGTCCGATATAAGACGGAATGTAACTACTACCAACACACCACTCCACCCCCTGTAAACCCCCCCCCACCCATTGCCTTGCCTACCCTTGGTTTACTTAGCTTGACCATCTTTCAGGTTGTTACCTTTCGACTACGAAGGGTTTAGGGAAAGCAAGGGAGGTCCCTTACGGTCCTACAATAGAACCTAAGAGGCCGACACTGGGCTCCCCCTGACTCTTAATGTTGAAAGGATATATCCATAGAGGGTATTTTCTCAGTAAACCAAGAACGGTTATGAACAATGTTGGCAGTAGCCCACTAACTTAATAAGTCTATTGACTATTCATCTAGGTGATGGTAGACCTATGTGGTTGTAGAAAAGACTCATTCAAATCATGTCTATTGCAAAGAGATACCCTATACAACAGAGAACTTCAATCTGAATGATGCTAACTATGGTTCCTTTGGTTCATCATCCCTAGGTTTCCTCTACTCCTATTCATTCCTTGTAAATTCAAGAATCTCTGTGTACAACCAGACTAGGGGAGATAGACCTAACTTGATCAGCTCCTTGATAGCCCTAAACCCGTTCTTTATGATACTGACCAACATTGGGACTAGTTCCTTAATGATACCTATGGACTGTGTTATGATCAGGAGAACCAGAGGAGCCAACAAGAGTCCCCCCACGTAGACACCACCTGTCTTAATCCAAGAGGGAACAGTCATATTCGAAAGAAGGTCAGCCATGCTTTTAGAAGCAGGATTTTGGACAATCACAGTCAGTGTCTTTGGAGCCTCGAACAGTCGAGTGGAAGTGTGGTTGGATTTTCTCCTTGTCCTGGCCCACCATTTTGAATCAGCACAGTTGCTTGTCTGTCATACCATTGAGCTCTACTGGCCTTATACTTCAGGGGCCTTAGGTTCGGCTTACCTTCCTTCTTCTTTGCTCTTCACCTTCTTTATTTCCCTTCATATCTGTCCATCAGCCTCTCTCTTCTTATCTCTCAATCTTCTTTCTTCTGTTCTTCACCTCTTCTTCTAATCCCCTCTTTAGCTATATCCATCCTTATTTCGATTCCCCTTAACTAGTGAACCATGAGTGGATCGAGCCGTTAGCTTGGCTATCACTTCATCTATACTACTAGGAAGGGAGGTTAACTTCCGTTAGGAAGGTCTAGCTAAATTAGCAGTAGGGGTCACCCGTTTAATGGTCAAGTATGTTGAGCCCTAGCTTTCGTCCTTTGCCCTTTGCCAGACTCCTCTTGTCTACTTACTATCCCTCTAGCTGCCTAGTGTATGGTTGACTCTGGCAAATTGCCTAGTCTAGGAGCTAGAAGGCGTCTTCTGACGTTTGGCAAAGTAGGCAAGTTTATGGGAAAGGAAGCTCCGCTGCCCCGCTATAGGGAATGGCCGGAACTACTCGTGGCTCTTGCCAGGGGTCCTTTGACGGCGCTCTAAAGGGGTCGAGGGTAAGGCTAGCAAGGGTGGTAGTGACCCTTTAACGGGTTGGCCCCTAGCGGTAACTTACATAACCCGGCTTACATGGAACTAGGGGCATAGAGTGAATTAACATAGAGAGGACTCTCTAAGAGACCCCTAAGAAAACTTACAGGCCTATTACCCTGCCTAAAAGTTCCCCCCTTGCTTTCCCACGGTAAGATTGATTTTGACCTTTGGATCATTTTCCTCTGATTCTCTTTCCTTCTTCTATCTCAACCCTCATCTTCTTTTATCTTATCCATCCATCTTCTGGCTTCTTCTTCTTTTTCTGATTCTTCTATTGAGACTCCTTCTTCCTCTGTTAATACGGCAACCAAGCCTCAAGCTACTCTTAAGCTTTTAACACTAGACCAAAAGAAAGCTATCGAAATTCCAGCCTCTACTCAA